ATATCTCTTTGGATTTGAGAGTTTAGTCTTTGCAACTTTACAGATCTTCTTTATGCACCAAGAGCTTGTAACACTCCAAAGAGAAAGAAACAATTGAAATCGCATCATATGACCCCTTTAACTGAGAATAATTATTCTTTTTGGACAAATCGTTTGATTTGCGTTTTGGCGAATGCAAGCTGAATATTGATCACGAGTCTAAACCGTAGACTGTAGTCCAAACATCCAGCCACGCAAGAAAGCATGCAATCGACCCGAGCGAAGACGCGATCAAAAAGTCAAGTCGTCTAGTTAATGTTGTTAAACGGAGTAAAAAAAAAAAAAAGTATAACTTCTAACATATTCTTAACCTTGGATCTCATTATTTAAACACAAAATGCAGCCAACACTAATTCTCCAAGTACTCTTGAACTGAAAAATATGCATTTTCATTCTTTCATACAGTTCATTTCTAAATTTTAAGTGCCATTGTTTAGAAAATGCTTCGTTGACTGACGTTTCAGACATTCAGTTGTTATGGTTTCAGCTTTTATGCCAGATGTGTTTCTATCTGTATCTTAAATAAGAGGGGTTGAGGATGTTTTAAGTGTTGCTGTCGTGATTATATAAGTTACTACACAACTGCAGTTCTAAAGTGGTAGTTTGTTCTAGCCAAGGGTTTGTGTATATTGTGACCTTTTGGCACGACATTACAATTCTATTTCAGAATTAAAACTTACATATATTGGTTAAACCAAAGAAAAGCGTTTACGTCTGGGAACCGGTTATACACCTACATAACTTGCCGAACACTGAAGAGACATTCACCATGTGGTACGCTACAAATATTTCAGTGTCCCTTATTTCTCTTTAAAGAACCACGATTGTCCCTTCTGTTCCTTCTCTGAAGTTGGCAACCCTATACAGCAGAACTTTGCATGGCATGAATAGAAATCAGTTACAGGTTTAGTGTGAAAACATTGCTGTAAAAGATGGTGCATAATTTTAATATAAGCGACTAGCATAAAAGATCACGTCTTGTCACAAATATAAACCAAGTCCTATCAAATTAACTTGCTTTGTGATACTTCAATGCAAGTGAAGTTGCATTATCATCAATCTGTCAACCGCTGCATTGACCAGCTTTTTACTCTATAGCAGAAAGTCATCGTTTCAGAACAACATGAAAGCAAGTAAAAGACAATGTTCGATTTGGCTGAACGGTCCTTTTAAGGTAATAGCAGGGATTTAGTATCCAATCACTTAAGATGCACGGATGCCCGAGCGGTTTCTGTATTTGCAATCTCCAACTTTAATTTGGTAAAATACAATAAACACACATTTCATTTTTCGTGCAGTGCACAGCCTCTAAACTAGTACATAAAGCAAATACTCTAACTCTAAGGGCTCCGGTGATGTTCTTTCACATGATCTGGTCAATTAAAAGCCTTTCATTGCATGCTTTCAACACTCCACTCATAACTGCTTCTGTAATTAAGACCGAATGTTCAGCCAAACCTGTCAGAGAACACCAGCGCCAGAGCCCAATATGCAAATGCAACAATAGAGAATAACCACATGTTTTTGTTACTTAAGATTGCCGTGTGCCAGACATTCACTGGGGGTACAAATGAAAATAAAATCTATATTGGAAAAAAAACCAAACCAAAACAAATAAGAACTGGAGAATCTGAACACTTTGCACTGATACACATTTACAAAAATATTTCTAACTTTTTCCAAACCTTGGCATGGTTGTTTATCGTTCAAATTTCGGGTGCGTGAACATTTGGGCGGCGTTATGCAAATCTTCCCACATAGTGAGGTAGACATGTGGGGGCGTGTTAGAATGAAGCGTTTTAGGGGGGCGTGGCTGACTCTTAACTTTTATAAAGAATATCTCTTTGGATTTGAGAGTTTAGTCTTTGCAACTTTACAGATCTTCTTTATGCACCAAGAGCTTGTAACACTCCAAAGAGAAAGAAACAATTGAAATCGCATCATATGACCCCTTTAACTGAGAATAATTATTCTTTTTGGACAAATCGTTTGATTTGCGTTTTGGCGAATGCAAGCTGAATATTGATCACGAGTCTAAACCGTAGACTGTAGTCCAAACATCCAGCCACGCAAGAAAGCATGCAATCGACCCGAGCGAAGACGCGATCAAAAAGTCAAGTCGTCTAGTTAATGTTGTTAAACGGAGTAAAAAAAAAAAAAGTATAACTTCTAACATATTCTTAACCTTGGATCTCATTATTTAAACACAAAATGCAGCCAACACTAATTCTCCAAGTACTCTTGAACTGAAAAATATGCATTTTCATTCTTTCATACAGTTCATTTCTAAATTTTAAGTGCCATTGTTTAGAAAATGCTTCGTTGACTGACGTTTCAGACATTCAGTTGTTATGGTTTCAGCTTTTATGCCAGATGTGTTTCTATCTGTATCTTAAATAAGAGGGGTTGAGGATGTTTTAAGTGTTGCTGTCGTGATTATATAAGTTACTACACAACTGCAGTTCTAAAGTGGTCGTTTGTTCTAGCCAAGGGTTTGTGTATATTGTGACCTTTTGGCACGACATTACAATTCTATTTCAGAATTAAAACTTACATATATTGGTTAAACCAAAGAAAAGCGTTTACGTCTGGGAACCGGTTATACACCTACATAACTTGCCGAACACTGAAGAGACATTCACCATGTGGTACGCTACAAATATTACAGTGTCCCTTATTTCTCTTTAAAGAACCACGATTGTCCCTTCTGTTCCTTCTCTGAAGTTGGCAACCCTATACAGCAGAACTTTGCATGGCATGAATAGAAATCAGTTACAGGTTTAGTGTGAAAACATTGCTGTAAAAGATGGTGCATAATTTTAATATAAGCGACTAGCATAAAAGATCACGTCTTGTCACAAATATAAACCAAGTCCTATCAAATTAACTTGCTTTGTGATACTTCAATGCAAGTGAAGTTGCATTATCATCAATCTGTCAACCGCTGCATTGACCAGCTTTTTACTCTATAGCAGAAAGTCATCGTTTCGCACCTGAGGACCAGAAACACCAGGTACGTTACTCGAGAACTGTGTTGTCATGCAGCTAAACAGGAAAATATCTTCCAAAGCAGCCAATCAAGAAAAGCCACCAGAGACTCTTCCCCCAATGAGGGCATTGTTCCTGAGCGAAACCGACCCTTACCCCCGCCAAATCCACGGTTTCCTCCGTGACCGCCGGTGTTACGGCCGCCGCGACTCCCGAAGCCTCCGCCGCTGGTGCTGCTGCTGGTCTGACGGTAGTCTCTGGCACCAAAACCACCAGAAAACCTGAAAAACACCAAACCGGTTTAACAGGGTGCCCGGGGGACGATGGTGAAAGCAAAAGGCTTGGGGAAACCGCTTCACCTCTTGGAGCGCCCGCGGCTGCTGCTCTTGTGCTGGTGCTCATAGGCCAGGCTCTCCAGCCAGGAGGGGACTTCCTGTTTGGCCTCCACCACGATGTCCAGCAGATCCTTGGTGATGTTGCTATTCTTATCATTGAAGAATGATGTGGCAAGACCTGAGACAACCCAACAAAACGACTGAATTCACTGGGATGCATTAGGATCTGGCACTAAACAGCAGTCAAATGTTCCATTGTATACTACAGCAAGCGTATCAACACTGTCATCGCAATTACCAAGGTTTCCCACACGACCGGTTCGCCCGATGCGGTGGACGTACTCCTCGATGTCACTAGGCAGGTCAAAGTTAATGACGTGTTTCACATTGGAGATGTCCAGACCACGAGCAGCCACCTGCGGAACAAAAGAGTTTGAGACTTGCACCAAAACATACCAAAGATTAAACAAACCAAAGCGGGAAGATGACATACAGCCGTGGCTACTAAGATGGGGCATCTCCCTGAACGGAACTGATGGAGCGCTTCCTCGCGGTCTCTCTGGGAACGGTCGCCGTGGATACTGGTGCAGGCGTAGCCCTCACGATACAGGAAGTCCTCCAGAGCATCCGCTCCCTTCTTGGTCTCAACAAACACCAAGGTCAAAGATTCTTTACCTGTTGGATGAGATGAAGACTATCAACAACTTGCATCACGCTTCAGTACGAGTAGAAGCTAATGAATGGCAGCATATGGCAAACAGGGAGTGACAAGCATTTGGATCTCATAGAAGTGAACTGTTAAATTCAGAAGACTACTGTAGTCGCAGCCATACTGAACCACCATGTGCTGTCCTGCTGAATGCAACCAAATTACAGCAGTCTTATGGCTTTACAATTCAACATGGCATTGGTTACATGCCACTTCATGCACAGATCCAACCGCAGGAACGAAACACTGAAAAGGAGCATGACTACTCCCAAAGAAATATCAGGGGAGGGAAAAAAAAAAAAAAAAAATTCAAGTAAAAATCTTAACACCATGAGAACTACATTAAAGCCCTGCATGGGCCTCAAATCTAGGCCCTGGCCTGAGACGATCAGGCCCTAGCCCGGCCCTTGTCTCACAGCTTATCAGAATTCTCGGCCCGAGTCCGATTGGACTATTTATTTATTTTTTCTTTCTTCCTCCTCCCCATTACACAGCCTATACTACTGTTGCAGCCATTAAAATAATTAAGTTTTGTTTTTAATATCAACGTGATTATATTTAATTGTTTCTTTAAGAGTTTAGAAAACTTAAATTCAAGCTTTATTTTTTTTTTTTAAAGTGACAACCAAGCAGCCAACAGAGAGTTTACCACATTTGATCAATTTAGCCTTCTCAAATCAACACTCGACTTACCTAGAATAAAATCCATTCCGAAAACTGTAAAGGGTCTAATTTGGTGTACACGACAACGAAGCGTTGTGCTTTTGTAAAATAAAGAAAACGGGATGCGTTTTCTGCCGTCTCAGTAAACTGAAGTGCGTCACAGGAAAAAAAATTAACCGAAACTCAGCGTAGAGGCCTCACCACTTTCATAACACATGAGAAACATACCTATAGGAAGCTTGAAATGTCTACTTTAAATGAATATTCAATTAGAAACAAAACCGCATCATTATGTAAACCGTATTAAATGGTGAATTTCGCTCTAATGGCAGAGTCAGCTGCAAAGATGAAGCCATCTCC